TCAACTTGCGTTTTCCTAAACGCTTAAAGGGGTTACTGTACGATTTTTCTTCATCGCTATTATCGGAGTCGTTTTCAGTATTACGAAATACATCAGTAAAATCCTGAAATATTAAAATTAATACATTTATTACATTAACGATTTATCGATTAATCGACAATTGAATATCACCTGAAAGAAAATTTTCTTATATTATTTAATACATGTTAAAATTGATGTAAATATAATCTAAATTACACTATTAAATGCTTTATTTTTTCTTTGTTTTATTTTCTGTGTAATGTTTTTGCAAACGGCTTACGTAAAAACTGGAAACCGTAGTTAGTTAACTACTTATTACAATACATAATCAAATTAGGCGTTAACCGAGATTAACAACAGAATATATATAAATATAAGTATAATGAGAAATACTAACTTTTTCTTGTCAATTGTAAAAACTGTAAATAATTTAATTTTAGCACATTAAAAATTATTAATAGAATATTTTACAAGTTCTTGTTATAAGGTTAATTAGTTAGATTGTTAGATAAATTGAAAAGGCCTGTTGTTACCATAAATGACTTACCAAAGTGTAATTTCTTTTTTTTCTTGGATGTCCGGGACTAATTCCAGCATCTTCAAATTGACATAATTCTTTTCTACGAGCAGGCTTTTTAGCAGAACTTTCTTTCCGCAGAGTTTGCCGATTAACAATGTACTTCTTTATGGCTTCTTTAAGAGCATAAACCCATTCCTGACCTTCACTTGCATGCTCATGAAACAATACAAGTACTTCGTTTTGGCAGAAAATTCTAAATATACCTTTGTCTGCTACTACATTAATTTTACATTTATTTAATGGCAAAATACAGCAACATTTTAATGAATTTGGAAGCTTTGGATCGTCTCTTTTCATTTTGCAGTACATAAGAATGTCACTCATTAATACAAAGTATCTTTTGTAATTTCGTGCCCCATTGTGAGAAACTTTTGATAATATTCCTTCTTTTATAAGTTGTCGACCAGGTCTAACAATCACTGGATATTTGTTTTGTAGAGAACGCTGTAATTCTAACATTCTTTGTGTATTCTCTTGTTCTTCAAGAGTTGAGTTTATGTGATTTGCGATTTGCTCAATTTTATGTAAAGAATCTGTAAGGTGAACTAAGCATTACACCAGAATATACCAGGAAATACTATATAAAAATGTCTAAATTTGTGATTTGACTTACCCAAAAGGTTTGAATAATTAGAGTTAGAAGGTAAAGTATAATCTACTACTTGTTTCAAAAGCAATCTGTATCTTGGTATTCTTTGGATAGGAGTTATAAGTAATGCAGAAAGTTTATTCTGAACTTCAGGTCTACTTTCTGTATGCTCCAAAAAATTTGCTAGATTAGTATTACTTTCCTGAGATTTCTAAAATTAATACACTTTAATATTGTTACACCAATAATGAACTGCTATGTTTGGTCTACTAATAAACAGTTTTGCAACTTTACATGAGTACTGTTAGTAGTACATAAGGCAGGGATATTCAACTGATAATTTTTGTAAAGTAAAATAAATTTAGTTATACTGAAAAAAACAAGTCATTTAATAAATGAATCTTTGTTACACTATCTTTTTATAATAAAATAGTATAATAATTGTTTAGATTTTTGCCATTCAAATATCCATTACTACAAAGAGAAGATTTACACTGCAATAGGTAATATTGGACAAAGCATTATAGTATAGTGATGTGTAGGCGAATTTAAACTAATTACCTATTGACATTAAATTTACTTCATTTTTTGTAGTCAATTATTGTACAAAAGCACCAATTTAAAATTAAACGAACTTTTCAAGTTACCTGTAAGGTGTGTAAAGAGTTTTTATATCCATAGGCATAAACGGAATACAGTTTCAAATAAGGAGCTATTTTTAGAAATGCATTCGCAACGTTTTCAGTCCCTTTTTTCAGTTCCATAAATAATTCCTTATTTACATTGTATATTGTATCAATGCTACCAAATAAAGTTTGAAAATCACTTCGTGAGAGTATTTCCTTTTCTTTGATAGGTTGCATAAAAAACACCTTTATGATTTTTAGTTGTTTGAGATAAGACAATTCACTGGTGTAAATTTCATTGACTGCCCTTGTCCTAAGTTCTTTGAAACTTTTTTCAGTGAAACTGTTGTCTATATCTTCAAGTGCACTTACAACCTTACTTCTTGTTTTGCAGGTTAACATATTCTTTTGCTGAATTATTTGTTTTAATTCAGCACTAAATGCAAGCTCATATTTTGGCGTAGTGGGCTCAATTTCAAAACCAACATTGTCTTCGTGGGATGAATTCATTTTATTAGTACAACTTTCTGTATAAATAAAAATACTTTTATACATAAGCAAGTAACGTAGTTATTACGCGCAAACTAAATAAATGAAATAAAAATTTGTATTTAAAAAGGAATAGAAAAAATTTAACACTTACCTGTCAGGTACAGATTTAATTTGCTACCATGAATGAAAAAACGACCATTTGTTCAAATTCAAATTTAACGGTAACAGGTAAGCCAATAGTTGAATTAAAAAAAATTCTTATGGTGGTGGTTCTTATCACTGCAGGGCAACTTTCTGTATTCTCTAAAATATAACTGCTTTATACTGATAAAAAGACATTATTCTGGTTAAACATTAATGTGTAATTATTAAAATTCAGAAGCACTCACTCGGTACAATGTAGGAGTTAGGTTTCCTAAATAGTAGGATCTTTAAAATTAAATGGTTAAAAATAACACTTCTGCTTTCAACTAGTAGATGGTAGTACACGTTCTAAAATAAGAAAAATACGATTTAGGCGCCAGTAATATGAAATAGGCTACTTTCCCTGATATCAGAGACAATAGCTGAGAATTAAAACGATTTGTATATTTTTATTATTTTTTTATTATGCAGAATAACACGTACAATTTGAAATCAACAAATCTTCGTATACAAATTGATGTTAAATTGCACCTATATTTTCCCTTAATTATTGAAGATTTATTAGTTCCAAAATTGCAAATTTTTTTTAAACAAAAGCAAACATCATAAACTTCGAGAATTGTAATAGTTTCACAAACAAGATTGATTTAATTGAAATTCCATTTTTAGGCAAGTTAAATAAGTGCCTATGTCGAATAATTAAATTGTCAAACCATTATCAACCATTATCACAGCATTCAATTACGCTCATAAATACATCGTTTTAATTATCAACTGTAGAAAATTGAAGTTGTCGCTACGCAATTCACAAAAATATACGACAATTTCCTACAGTTCGCATTCTTTTTTTAATAATTTTTTTCATTTTCATACTATATAATATATAGGTAAGTACGTAATAAATTATAAAATTTAAGAAATATTTACAGCTTAGAATTATTATTAGATTTTTTTTCAGTCAGGATTGAGAATGTCTTCAATATTAATTAGTTAAATAATTGATCAGCGTAACACCAAATCTTAAAGAAGTATTCGTCTTTGCGTAACAATTTTAATTTGGCGTAAGAATGAATGTCAGCATCCATGTTGTGCTCCCTAAGCCAAGATGTCGTCGGTTCTGTACTGTATGAAGTAGGCTGTTCTGTAACTTCCTTGAACTCATCTTGGTCAGGTTCTAAACAAAAATAAAAAATATTTACATGTCTTACATCTAAATATGTTTGCTTTCAAACTTTCTTATTATGATACTTCACATAAGTCTATTATAAAATACTATACAACATATCTTACCGGTGGATGGCAATACTTTGAAGGGTTCATCAGATTCGAGTGGATCACTGAGACCAATTTCGTTTCTAGCAAATATTCGTACAAGATATTCATGATCTTCTTGAAGGTCTCTAATTGTGAATTTCTGCACGCCCTTAGGTACTCGTCCAATTTCCATCCACATTGTTTTCTTTGTATCTCTGATAGCGATATTATAGCCAGTCAAAGGAGAACCGCCGTCGCTTTCTGGTATTCCCCATTCAACAACAAAGGCATTCGGACCGATAGCTCGTATTTCTAATGGAGCCGTCGGTGGAGATGGTACAGCTAAGAATAGAGAAAATTCATTAGGATGTTAATTCAGCAATAGAAAAAGTGCCTCTTTTTGTTTCAGAACAATAAACAATACCTATAAATATAAATTTTGTATTTAATTAACTTAACTTGGAAATTAACTCAATAATATACACGAATTATACAAATAAATTATCAAGATTTGAACTTATTTATAAGAAAAAGATATCGCTTAGTATTAGAACGCGCCAAGTTCATTTTTTTACCGCGGCACTCTTTGGCGGCGCGGGTTAGTGATACTCGGGGAAACCCCGCTTTCTATTTTTGTGGGACGTTCATGTGCTACGCTAAAGTCAAATAAGTACTATTGTCATTGACACTTTCGCTGTACAGAAAGCCCGAAAAAATTAGTTTCAATAATAACTTTACAACAGTGTTCTAGTTATTTGCGGTACTGGTATAATTAAGGACGCAGCTTCAGGTAAACATTACTTATGTTTAAGTAAACAGCGACGTTAGTTATACCTTTAACTTGAATCACTACAAACAGCTTAGTGAACACTATATACAGAAAATTGCTATATATATTTAGTGGGATTTAAAAATAATTGATAAGGACCATGAACTTTTTATTCTGTTTGGTTATGTGCCTATCACGTTCCGTGTTTCCCCGAATGTACGATCTATCTCGAAAATAAGCCCCACCATGATTTTAAAGGATGGTTTTAAAATAACTTCTGTCTCGAAAATAGGACCATTATCGATTGATAAAAATCATCGTTGGAGCGCATTTTATATTGACTAACGAGGGAATTTATCATGATATAAATAATAACGACGAATATATCTATTCATACAAAGTTTGTGAAAATTAAAGTACGCAGATATGTATGTACTGAAAATAAAAGGCTTTGCTACTTACTGGCATGGGTTTGGAGTTTAACAGGCTTAGTAGTAGCTGGGGTGCTTAGTCCAACAGAATTTTCAGCAAATACTCGGAAAACGTATTCACTCTTTTCCTTCAATTTTGTAAACGTGTATGTCAGTGTTGTTGCTTCTAAGGTAGCAATCTTCTCCCATTTTGGCATATATTCCAGTTTCTTTTCGATGATGTAGCCAGTTATTTCTGCACCGCCATTGTTTAGTGGAGGCTCCCATGTGATTGTTGCTGAACGACTTGTTGCTTCCGTAACTTGCAAATTTTCTGGAGCTGAAGGAGGAGCTGAAATGATATCATTTTAGATTGTTTAGTACTTATGTAATACGTTGCATTTTCGACAGTTTCACGAATACCATCGAAAATGCGACCATATAGAGAATATCTACGTAGTCCTATTTAAAAGACGATTAAAGCATAGGGTAAAGCTGAGCGTTTAGCATAGTACTTACTAGGAGATTTTCGTTTGCTTGGCGGGAAAACACCCAAAAGGCAATATAGACTATCATCATTTATTTCAAAATGATATTGGACTCCTAAAGCATAAGCAGAAGTTTAGTAAGCAGGTGTGTAGGAAGGTTTGCACTGTTCGATCTTCTATTTGGGGATTAGCACATTTTACTCAAGGTATGTAGTTTTTCACTCGAAATTTGTAATACTTTCTGCATTATACAATAAAACATTTACTGAAAAAGTCTTACAAACATAGGAAACATATGATTTTTTTTGAAACTTTTAATAATGGAATAGTGAAAATTCATTTAATTTTTATGCACTATAAATTATCTCAAATTAATGAAGAAATATTGTCGTAGCTTAGTGGTTAGAGCATTTGTGCGTCCGGGTTCGATTCCCGACGAGGGTGCATCAGCAGTAATGATTTTTCCTCATTCATTTGGGGTAATTCATTCATCGAATTTTCACATTAAAATAGGCAACATTTATGAATTAATGTAAGAAGTAGTTTGTTCTTCAAGTTTCGAGTTCAGAATTATTAGAATTAACAACAGGAAGTAATCAAAATTTGTTTTTTGATGAATTATCCAATTAACTTAATGCTTTTTGTTGTGAAAACTTACTTATTCTGGAACCAGCGACAATTGTATCGTCTGGGATGAACGGTTCGCTTAATCCTGCAGCGTTTCTGGCTGTTATTTTAAAGTTATAACCTTTATTTTTGGCAAGGTAATTTACGGCGAAGTTTGTGATGTCGCCTTTTGAAGAGCCGACCTTTTTAAATTCAGTGGTCTTTGCTTCCTTCATTTCTATAATATATTCCAAAATTGGACTACCACCGTCTGATTCGGACGGTTTCCAGCTGATAGTGAAGGAGTTTGCTGTCATTCCGGACACTTCTAAAGGACCTCTGGGCGGAGATGGTTTTTCTAAAGATAAAAATAGTTTTTCAGTAAATTTGTCGGTTAAAGACGATCGTTTGATGTATGCTAATAAATTTGTATTCAATAACTTGTTAACTGTAAAGAAACCTTTTTTAATTTATTTACTAAACAACCATCTTACCAAATTCTGGGGTAATGATTATTGGTTTGCCTTCTAGCGGTTCAGATTTTCCTACGGCGTTTTGAGCAATTACTCTAAATGAGTATTCAGTATTGATGTTTAAATTTTGAATTTCGTAGGAAGTAATGTCTTTCTCGACGTCCGCGATCTTGGTCCATTTCTTATCATCAGAGAGACATTGTTCAATAATGTACTTTGATATTTCAGCTCCACCATCGTCAAGCGGGGGTTTCCATGAAATTGTAACTGTTTCCGTTTTGTTTACGGTTGTTGTCAGTGGTCCCTCTGGTGGTCCGGGTTTGTCTGCAAATTATTTTTGAGAAGTAATAATTGTAGCAAATTAAGTATAAGGGAGACGTACCTGTAACCGTTAGTTTGACTTCTGTGGAAGCAGAACCTGCCGAATTTTCTGCATAAACCGTGTATGTTCCGCTGTCATTCCTTTCTACCTTTGCGATTTTAATAATTGTCGATGATTCTTCAACGGAATATTTGGTCGATGTTATTTGCGTCTTGTTTTTCTTCCAGTTTATTTCAGGTTTGGGATATCCGCTAAATTTAGCCTCCACCTTCCAAGTTTCGGAAACCTTTAGAGTTTGAGTAATTTCAGTTTCTTCAACTTTCAATTTTGGAGTTTCTTCTATTTTGACTTTGCAGTTTGATTCAGCAAAACCTGCATTGTTTGTAGCCCTAATCGAGTATGTTGCTGTTGTTTCCTCGTCCGTTTCTTCTATTACATAAGTCGTGACGTTATTTTCGTGGGTGATGCGTTTTGACTTGATTACTTTTCCGTTTTTGTACCATTCAATTTTGGGCGTTGGAAGACCACTCACAATGCACGATAGTGCAATTTTCTGTTTTAACCCTGTTGTTATATTTTGGAGAGGTTCGACGATTTCTGGCTTTGTTTCCACAATGGTAGCGACAAGCTGGATTTCGTCTGATTCATCTGATGGTTCACTGGACCCAACTTCATTTGCAGCCGTTACCCTGAACACATATTTTTCGTTTTTCTCAATTAGTGGTATTTTGATAGTTGTACTGTCACTTTCTTCCATCTTGGTCCAGCTAAAATAAATAATATTTAATATATAATAAATTAGGAGTTGTGAATACACTTACGTAGGTGTCTTTGAGTTTTTATAGTAAACGGTGTAGTTAGTTACTGGAGCGTTTCCGTCGCTTTCTGGAGTTTTCCAGTGAAGAGTTACGGTTGAATCGGTTGTTTCTATAGGCTCTGGTTTTCCTGGTTTACTTGGAACGTCTGAAAAATATAAGCAAATGCAATTAAAGTTTTAATTTTTTTTGTTGTTTCTATAAAGACATGCGTACCAATAACTACTAATGTAAGGTCTGCGGATGCTTCTCCAGTTTTATTTTTTAGACGTAACGTGTAGTCTGCTGCGTCGACCATTTCAAGTTTTCTAATAGTTAAGGAAGCACTATCCTCAGAGAGCTTTGGTTCAAATCGTTTCGACTTTTTAATGACCTTTTTGTCTACTGACCATTCGTCGGTTGGTTTGACCGCGGAAGTGAACTTGACATTCATCGTAACGTCTTCGCCTTTCTTGATGCGGTATATCTTTTCATTTTGGTCAATAGTAATTTGTGGTTCTTTTTCTTCGACTTTTAGTTTTGATTCTGTTTTGAGATCTCCAAGGGTACATGTATATTTGGCTTGGTCAGCCGGGGTCACGTTTTTGACAATCAATTTTCGCACATTCTTGTCCACTATAATAGTATGACGAGGAGATTCTTCTATTTTAACTCCGTCCTTTAACCACGTAACTTCTGCATCCGGTCTTGAAACTTCAACTACAAATGTGGCATCAGCCGTTTCTGGACTTCTCGTAATTGGTGGTAAAGTTTTTGTAAATTCTAATTTTGGTTCTATCACTGTTAATTTTGCTGAAGATTTTTGATTACCAACCTGAAAGATAAAACATTGTTAGGTACGCTTTAATGTAAACAGTTAATAATAAATAATGTAATACCTCGCAGGAATACACTCCTTGATCCTCTGGTTGACTGTTGTATATTTTAAGCTTTTGGCGCTTACCGTCGATGGAAAGTTGAACGTGTTCAGAGAATTGTAATTCTTTTCCGTCTTTGAACCACTTAACTAGAGCATCTCCTTTGGTTAGTTCTATTTCAAAAGCAACTTTTTCGTTAACCATTACTGTCTGATCTTCCATCTTGCTGATAATTTCAGGAGGCAGTTCGATAACTGTAAGTTCTGCTGAACACTGTTCATCCGTGAGCGTACATGAATATTCGCCTTCATCGTGAATTGATGCACTTCGTATAAGCAATCTGCGTACTCCACCATCTTTTTCTATTTTGTATTTCGTGTCTGTTTTTTCTATAGGAGTACCATCTTTAAACCAATTTACTTCAGCTGTTTCAGAAGTGACTTCGACTTCGAGGATGGCTATTTGTTTCTCTGTAGCTTCATAATCCTCAAGTTTTCGTAGAAATTCTGGTTTCGTTTCTTTCACAATTACCTTTGACTCGGTTTTTTCCGATTTAACGGTGCACTTATAACTGCCAGAATCTTTCAGTGTGGCATTCTTGATAATTAATTTGTGAACCTTTCCTTCTTGTATTATAACTCGGTGATCCATTCCACTAAGTTCGTTGTCATTATGGAACCATTTCGTTGGTACTGTATGAGACGTTTCGCATTCAAGGGTTAACGGTTCATGCTCAGTAATTTCTACAGTTTTCTTTAGCTTCCTCACAAATTTAACCTTGTCGACTTCAACATTTATTTTTGCACCGTGCGAAGCTTTCCCAAGAGGATTAGTTGCTATACATTTGTAATTTCCGGTATCTTCTTCCGAATTGACGTCGTTAATAGTCAATTTAGTATTTTCGCCGTCAAAATATACATTTGTTCGTGTGTTTGGAACGATAATTTCGTTATTTCTTAACCAAACTATTTCTGGTTCCGGATTGCCAATAACACGTGCCCGAAGAACGAGGGTGCCGTTTTCAGGAACTGTGACACCTTGGAATCGTTCAATAAAGAGAGGTGGTTCAGACTTTAAGCTTGGGAATTCTGGAATTTGTTTAAAATAAAATAATCAAATATCAATGAAAATACGTATACGTTAAGAAAAGGTTAAGAGGAAATAATAATAAAATGCGTTTTTTAAAATAATTTATGACAAAATAATAAGACATAGTCAACAATCAACGAAATTGCTAAAGTAATCTAGTAGTAAGTACCTATAGAATAAGCATAAGTAGTCGCAAAGTAAGCTGTTGGGACGTTAATTTGCAGAGCTGCGAAATCAAATCATTGAAGCCATATTCACTAGTTTTAGGTATGCAAGTACAAGATAATTACCTTCCACAGTTAGAGTACAACTTGTTTCTGCAGTACCAAGAACATTAACAGCTTTTGCTGTATATTCTGCAGAATCGTTTTCAGTTGGTGATTTAATTGCGTATGTGTAAACATCATCTTTTTTGTTAGGAAGTGATTTTTGTATAGGGACATTATTTTTGTACCATGTGACAGTTGGTGGAGGATTTCCAAGGATACGGGTTGATAATTTTACCGGTTCGTTAGGTTTTACCGTGACGTTCTTAAGTGGTTGCAAGATTAAAGGAGTTTCATTTTGAGTCGATTTAACTTTAAGAACAATGGGTAACCGTGCTTCTCCTTCTCTGTTTTTAGCAGTTACTTGAAGAATACCAGCTTGTTCTTTTCTTGCGCTCTTCATTTTCACCTTTGTACTGTATATATGTTTTTCTGATGTGGTTGCGATTGTAACGTTGTGTTCTTGCCCTAATGGTTTTCCATTTAGGGTCCAAGAAATTTCAGGTTCTGGTATGGCAACTAGCCGGCATTCTAGGTCGACGTCGAATTCTTCGTCTATGCATATTGGACCTGGCTTTTTGAAGAATGTTGGTGGGATTCCTTCCAATATGTCAGCAACGGATGATTCTCGAGAAGCACTTTTTCTTGATATGCCAGGACCTTCGGAGCCGTGATCTGACAACGGCCCTTCGACTACTAACTCGGTTGTACTAGACGCGAATCCTGCTGAATTCTTAGCAACACAGGTAAATGTTCCTGCATCTTCTGGAAATACCTCCGTGATTATTAAAGTTGCGACATTATCATCATCGAAGAACATCTGGAAATCTTGTGAAGGTTTAATTATCTGAGTTTGTCGGAACCATGTGATTTGTGGTTTTGGAAAGCCTTCCACTTGACATTCGAATTGAACAGTTTGTCCATCTTTTGCTTGTTGAGGTTGTAGTTTTTCAATGAATTTTGGAGCCATAGCTTTTTCTTCAGGCTTCGGTTCTAAATGATTAAATTAAAGTATCATAAAACTCTGCGTAGCTTATTATATTTTATTTATATAATATATAATACGAAGATTATAAATTCGTAAAATGTAGATCAAGAGAAGTGAATAGAAATGAATTGAATGTTCATATTTATCTATTATGAATAATACTTACTTTCGAACACAGGAAGTTTGTCTATTTTTTCATTCAGTCTTCTTTGTAGGTATATTTTATATTCGGGTTCTGTCATTAAGTAACGAGCAGGAACCCAACCTTTCTCTTCAACTAAATTTTTCTTGACATACCACCAGTCATTATTTTGATTATCTAAAACGTAAATTTTTTCTCCTTCGACCAAGTCCATAGCTTGGTCAGCTTCCGCCGAGTAAGAGTAAACAGCGATGTAGAGGGGACTTGGCACAGAATCTTCTCTTTCAAAATACTTTTCTGATTCTTGGGTAATACTTAACGAAACTTCCTCTGAAAAGTAAAATAAGACTATATTAGTACTTCATTAAAGTTAAGTCTTTTTTACAACTACACAAATTAACTGATGGCGCCCTCTGGGGTAAAGCTCTCCGGGCGTAAACTAGTCCGCCATTCGGATGTTCGGGCGGAGACTACCTCGGGGGAGGTCATCAATAAGTGCAACAGAGGAAGGTGCAATATTTCACGAGTCGGAGAGTGGAATGTTAGAAGAATGAGGCAAATAGGGAAATAAGAGAATTTGAAAGTTGAGATGAATAGACTAGAATTAGATATAGTAGGTATTAGGGAAGTCCGCTGGTCAAAAGCTAGAGACTTCTTCGGTGGAAACTTTAGAATAACACATACAGGATAGGTGGAAGGTAATTCCGGGGTAGGAATTGTAATGCGCAGGACAGAGTGTAGAAAGTTATTTACAAAAAAGCGATAGGATAGTTATGGTTGAATTAAACTCGAAGCCCGTAAAAACGGTAAATGTGGTGTTACAGGCGAATGGTGAGGATACTGTGGATAAAGAAGGTTAGAAATGAAGAGGTATTAGAAAGAATAGGAGAACAGAGGAAGCCAATAAGAAATAGCCGAGATAGGTTGGTAAGACACCTTCTCAGGCATAAAGGTCTAGTCAGAGACATATTAGAGGCAGAAATAGGAGTTAAGGGCAGTAGAGGTAGACCTAAATTAGATTACTGTTCGCAAATAGTTAAACTTGTGGGTTGTTCTAGTTTTGAGAAAATGCGAAGATTAGCTCAGGATAGGAAAGAGTGGAGGTGCGTGTCCAGTCAGTCTTAGGACTGACGACCTCATAATAATGATGAAGTCTTTTCGAATAGTATCTAGATACTAGTCTAACAATTGTAAATATTGAATACGTACCTTGTTCAAATGTATGCGGTGGTTTTCTTTTTGGTTTTAAAGAAAGCGAAAGTGATTCTTCTTCAAAGCTTTGTTGTTTAATTGCTTTTCTAAGATCAAGCTTCACTTCTTCTTCAACTTCATCATGAACAGAATAGGAATCTTTACGTTTGATTTTCAAGGGTACATGGAAACTTTCTTCTAGATCGTTGTCGTACGGTAGTTCTTCCGCATCACTTCCTTCATCTATAATTTCTTCGATGGCTGGGCCTTCACTTTCAATTTCTTGGCTAATCTTAATGGAACATTCGCCCGTTTCTTCTGAGTAGGTTGACGGGCGCTGTTTCTTCAATTTAATTTTCCCTGACATAGATACTTCTTCTTCTGCGTATGAGTCTAAATGAATATTAAATTCTTGTTCAATGTCTTCTCTAATGTGTGTTGATTTTGGTTTAATTGTTACTGATTCGACATCAGTATGTTCAGGCAACGGAGGCTTTTTACTCTTTTTAATTGTAATTTCTGTACTTTTTTCTTCTATAGAATATGGAGTGACTTTCTTTGGTTTGAGTGGAACTTGAAAACTTTCTTCATTTTCATCAGATGAAACTACCTTTTCTTCGTCCTGTTCGTCAATAATTTCTTCAATTGTAGGCCCTTCATCTTCTATTTCCTTAGTTATTTTTATAGTTCCTTCTCCTGCTTCTTCGGAGTATGTTTTAGGGCGTTGCTTTTTAAGTTTTATTTTACCAGACATTGAAACTTCTTCTTCAGCATAAGCGTCCAATTGAATTTTGAATTCTTGTTCTACATCCTCTTTGGTTTTTGTAATTTTAGGTCTAAATGTAACGTTTGCAACGTCGGTATATTCAGGTATGTCAGGTTTTGAGGTTTTGCGGACTTGTCTCAGTTTCCTTATTGTTACTTCATCGGTATGCTCTTCAACAGTTGGAGGCTTTGATGGTTTACGTTTGATTGTTACTTGTACGTCATCAACCGGAGAAGGTAGTAAATGTAGATTGTCTTCTTCCTCTGTTTGTTCTTCTGTTACGGATTTTTGTGGAACTAATTTTCGTATAAATATTTCATCAGACTCTTCATCCTTTGGTGGAATTTGTTTTCTTGGCATAATTTCTTCTGCAAATGGCTCTTCTTCGTCTTGAGGTTTTATAATGATTTTCTTCTGAATAGTAATTTCATCAGCATCTTCATCTTTGGATGGAACTTGTTTTTTTGGTATTGTTTCTTCTGTAAATGGTTGTTCTTCATCTTCAGATTTTACTATAATTTTCTTCTGAATAGTTATTTCATCAGCATCTTCATCTTTTGATGGGATTGTTTTCTTTGGTAATACTTCCTCTGCAAAGGGTTCCTCTGCATCATGAGGTTTTACGGCGACCTTCTTCTGAATAGTAACTTCATCAGCTTCTTCATCTTTGGATGGAACTTGTTTTTTTGGTATTGTTTCTTCTGTAAATGGTTCCTCTTCATCTTGAGTTTTCACGGGGACTTTCTTCTGAATGGTAATTTCATCAGCATCTTCATCTACTGCTGGAATATGCTCTCTTTGTAATATTTCTTCTACAGGTAAATTTTCTTCCTTTTTTGGTTTTAATGGGATTTTCATCTCAATTGCAATTTCCTCAGCTGTTTCATCAACGGTAGGTATTTTTAGCTTCGGAGCTATTAAATGCACTTCATTCTCATCTGGCGTGATGTCCTTCTTGGGTTTCTTCTTTTTTAAAACAAGAATTTCAACAGGTGTTTCATCAGCAGTTAGCGTATCCTGTTCTAAAGGTTTTAATTCTACCGGTAACTCTTTTGCCTCCGTAACGGTAGGAACTTCAATGATATCTTCTCGTTTGATATCTGGTATTTCCTCCTTGTCTTGTATTTCTGTTAATCCTAAGCCTTCAGTGGGCTTATCTTCTGGAAGTAGTTTCTGAGATTTCTTTATCGAAATATCTTCTTCTTCGGTGGCAGGCTTTTCTTTTCCGAGTGGAATTTCAAGTGCCTCTGAAGATGGTTTATCTTTTTTAGATTTTGATCTTTTAGCTTTTTGAACTATTGGTTTTTCATCAAGTTCCTCTCCAGGTTTAGGAAGATCCGGGGATTCAATTTCTGTCTCGGATCTGTCAAAATCGTACGGTTCAAAAGGTTGTAATTCGGGTTCCTCTTTATCCTTCTTCTTGGAAGGTTTAGACGGTTGTTCATCTTTAACTATTGGTTTAGTTTCTTCGTCTTCCGGTTTTTCTTCGGGTTTGCTTGGGATTGGTTTTAGTTTTACTTCTTCATCTTCTTGTCGTTCTTGTGGTATCTTACCTTTACCAATAATTAATGGTTTAGCTTCGTCTGCAGGTTTTTCGGGTTTAAACTTGGGTTTCTTTTCATATTTATGCAAATCCTCATCGACTTTTTCCATTTCCTGTTTTTTGAGATCCTCTAATTCCTTATCAATTTTTTCCAAATCTTTCAACGTGTCTTCGTCCTCTTTTATCTTCCTTGGTTTAGTCTTTTTAAGCTTAGCTGCTTCTTTTATGTTGCGGGAAAGAATACCGTTTTGCTTATATGTTGGTTCCAATGCAGATATTTGTGGTTTGACCTCTGATTCCGAAAGAGGTGGGAAGTCAACGAACGTGATTCTGCTTTTCAATAGGAATTTAGGTAATTTTGAAGCAGTAATTTCTTTCTGTTTGGTGGGCTTTGGCTTCTTCAATTTAATTTCAGCTAAATTAACAGGTTCCTCGATCGGTTTCGAAATAACTAGTTTCTGAGGTTCAATTTTAGTAATTTCCATTTTGATAGGTTTTAGTTTGTCCTTTTGAGTCCGTTTAGGCTTTGCAGGCGTCTCCTGGGCAACGTCTCGTTCTACATCTTCCGGAATGTCTTCTGTAGGGATTTTCTTTTTAACTACCTTCTTTCTTTTCTTGGTGGTTTCGGACGGTGTTTCTAAGTCTATCGTTGTTTCTTCTTCTTCTTCTCGTTCGCTCTCTGTAGGTTTCTCAATTGTTGGTATTTCTTCGGGTTTCGTTTCTTCCTCTTCTTCACCATGTTCATCAGGTGTTTCATGTTTTGGAATTTCTTCTGGTAATTCGTCTGTAGGTGTTTCTTCGATAGACTTTTCTTCGTCTGGAGTCGGTTTATCGGTTGGCTTCCTTTTTATAACCCGTTTTTTCTTCTTTATAACTTTTCGCTCTGTTTCTTCAGTTAGTTCTGTATCGGAAGGAATGGCCTCTGTGTGAGGAATTTCGTCGAGAGTGAGTTCCGGTTTATCGGTTTCATCTTCCTCATGATCGGGAACATGTTTTTTGAATGGTTTAAGCTTAATTTCGGTGGGCTGGTCTTCCGGAGGTGGTTTTTGTGATTTCTTAAAAGACACATCAGTTTCTTCTTCTGGGGCAGGTGGTTTGGGTTTTCCCTTTTCAATCGGAATTTCAATTGTCTCTGGCAATGGTTTGTCGTTTTTGGATTTTGGTTTCTTAATCTTTTTATCCTTCGGTTTTTCTTCAACTTCTTCTTCAGGTTTAGGAAGATCCAGGGATTCTATTTCTGTCTCCGGTCTGTCGACATCGTAAGGTTCGAAGGGTTGTATCTCGGGTTCCTCTTTATCTTTCTCCTTTTTAGGTTTAGACGGCTGTTCATCTTTAACTTTTGGTTTAGTTATTTCGTCTTCGGGTTTCTCTTCAGTTTTGCTTGGAATTGGTTTCAGTTTTACTTCTTCATCTTCTTGTTGATCTTGTGGTACCTTACCTTTACCAAGAATTAGTGGTTTGGTTTCATCTGCAGGCTTTTCGGGTTTAGGCTTTGGCTTCTTTTCGTATTTATGCAAATCCTCATCGACTTTTTCCATTTCCTGTTTTTTGAGATCCTCTAGTTCCTTATCAATTTTTTCCAAATCTTTCAAAGTGTCTTCGCCCTCCTTTAGTTTCCTTGGTTTAGTCTTTTTGAGCTTAGCTGCTTCCTTCATGTTGCGGGAAAGGATACCGTTTTGCTTAAAGGTTGGTTCCAATGTAGATATTTGTGGTTTGACCTCTGATTCCGAAAGAGGTGGGAAGTCAACAAACTTGATTCTGCTCTTCAGTAGGAATTTAGGTAGTTTTGAAGGAGTAATTTCTTTCTTTTTGGTGGGCTTTGGTTTCTTCAATTTAATTTCAGCTAAATTAACGGGTTCCTCGGTCGGTTTCGAAATAACTAGCTTCTGAGGTTCAATTTTAGTAATTTCCAATTTGATAGGTTTCAGTTTGTCTTTTTCAGTCCGTTTAGGTTTTGTAGGTGTTTCCAGAGCAACGTCCCGTTCTACATCTTCCGGAATGTCGTCTTTAGGGATTTTCTTTTTAACTACCTTCTTTCTTTTCTTGGTGGTTTCGGACGGTGTTTCTAAGTCTATCGTTGTTTCTTCTTCTTCTTCTCGTTCGCTCTCTGTAGGTTTCTCAATTGTTGGTATTTCTTCGGGTTTCGTTTCTTCCTCTTCTTCACCGTGTTCATCAGGTGTTTCATGTTTTGGAATTTCTTCTCGTAATTCGTCAGTAGGTGTTTCTTCGATAGACTTTTCTTCGTCTGGAGTCGGTTTATCGGTTGGCTTCCTTTTTATAACCCGTTTTTTCTTCTTTATAACTTTTCGCTCTGTTTCTTCAGTTAGTTCTGTATCGGAAGGAATGGCCTCTGTGTGAGGAATTTCGTCGAGAGTGAGTTCCGGTTTATCGGTTTCCTCTTCCTCATGATCGGGAACATGTTTTTTGAATGGTTTAAGCTTAATTTCGGTGGGCTGGTCTTCCGGAGGTGGTTTTTGTGATTTCTTAAAAGAGACATCAGTTTCTTCTTCTGGGGCAGGTGGTTTGGGTTTTCCCTTTTCAATCGGAATTTCGATTGTCTCCGGCAATGGTTTCTCTTTTTTGGATTTTGGTTTCTTAATCTTTTTATCTTCCGGTTTTTCTTCAACCTCTTCTTCAGGTTTGGGAAGATCCAAGGATTCCATTTCTGTCTCAGGTCTGTCTATATCATACGGTTCGAAGGGTTGTATCTGGGGCTCCTCTTTATCTCTCTTCTTTTTAGGTTTAGACGGTTGCTCATCTTTAACTTTTGGTTTAGTTACTTCGTCTTCCGGTTTCTCTTCAGTTTTGCTTGGAATTGGCTTTAGTTTTACTTCTTCATCTTCTTGTTGTTCTTGTGGTATCTTACCTTTACCAAGAATTATTGGTTTGGTTTCATCTGCAGGCTTTTCGGGTTTAGGCTTTGGCTTCTTTTCGTATTTATGCAAATCCTCATCGACTTTTTCCATTTCCTGTTTTTTGAGATCCTCTAGTTCCTTATCAATTTTTTCCAAATCTTTCAAAGTGTCTTCGCCCTCCTTTAGTTTCCTTGGTTTAGTCTTTTTGAGCTTAGCTGCTTCCTTCATGTTGCGGGAAAGAATACCGTTTTGCTTATAAGTTGGTTCCAACACAGATATTTGTGGTTTGACCTCTGATTCCGAAAGAGGTGGGAAGTCAACGTATGTGATTCTGCTCTTCAGTAGGAATTTAGGTAGTTTTGAAGGAGCAATTTCTTTCTTTTTGGTGGGTTTTGGTTTCTTTAATTTAATTTCAGCTAAATTAACGGGTTCCTCGGTCGGTTTCGAAATAACTAGTTTCTGAGGTTCAATTTTAGTAATTTCCAATTTGATAGGTTTTAGTTTGTCTTTTTCAGTCCGTTTAGGTTTTGTAGGCGTTTCCAGAGCAACGTCCCGTTCTACATCTTCCGGAATGTCGTCTTTAGGGATTTTCTTTTTAACTACCTTCTTTCTTTTCTTGGTGGTTTCGGACGGTGTTTCTAAGTCTATCGTTGTTTCTTCTTCTTCTTCTCGTTCGCTCTCTGTAGGTTTCTCAATTGTTGGTATTTCTTCGGGTTTCGTTTCTTCCTCTTCTTCACCGTGTTCATCAGGTGTTTCATGTTTTGGAATTTCTTCTAGTAATTCGTCTGTAGGTGTTTCTTCGATAGACTTTTCTTCGTCTGGAGTCGGTTTATCGGTTGGCTTCCTTTTTATAACCCGTTTTTTCTTCTTTATAACTTTTCGCTCTGTTTCTTCAGTTAGTTCTGTATCGGAAGGAATGGCCTCTGTGTGAGGAATTTCGTCGAGAGTGAGTTCCGGTTTATCGATTTCCTCTTCCTCATGATCGGGAACATGTTTTTTGAATGGTTTAAGCTTAATTTCGGTGGGCTGGTCTTCCGGAGGTGGTTTTTGTGATTTCTTAAAAGAGACATCAGTTTCTTCTTCTGGGGCAGGTGGTTTGGGTTTTCCCTTTTCAATCGGAATTTCGATTGTCTCCGGCAATGGTTTCTCTTTTTTGGATTTTGGTTTCTTAATCTTTTTATCTTTCGGTTTTTCTTCAACCTCTTCTTCAGGTTTGGGAAGATCCAAGGATTCCATTTCTGTCTCAGGTCTGTCTATATCATACGGTTCGAAGGGTTGTATCTGGGGCTCCTCTTTATCTCTCTTCTTTTTAGGTTTAGACGGTTGTTCATCTTTAACTTTTGGTTTAGTTGCTTCGTCTTCCGGTTTCTCTTCAGTTTTGCTTGGAATTGGTTTCAGTTTTACTTCTTCATCTTCTTGTTGATCTTGTGGTACCTTACCTTTACCAAGAATTAGTGGTTTGGTTTCATCTGCAGGCTTTTCGGGTTTAGGCTTTGGCTTCTTTTCGTATTTATGCAAATCCTCATCGACTTTTTCCATTTCCTGTTTTTTGAGATCCTCTAGTTCCTTATCAATTTTTTCCAAATCTTTCAAAGTGTCTTCGCCCTCCTTTAGTTTCCTTGGTTTAGTCTTTTTGAGCTTAGCTGCTTCCTTCATGTTGCGGGAAAGAATACCGTTTTGCTTAAAGGTTGGTTCCAATGTAGATATTTGTGGTTTGACCTCTGATTCCGAAAGAGGTGGGAAGTCAACAAACTTGATTCTGCTCTTCAGTAGGAATTTAGGTAGTTTTGAAGGAGTAATTTCTTTCTTTTTGGTGGGCTTTGGTTTCTTTAATTTAATTTCAGCTAAATTAACGGGTTCCTCGGTCGGTTTCGAAATAACTAGCTTCTGAGGTTCAATTTTAGTAATTTCCAATTTGATAGGTTTCAGTTTGTCTTTTTCAGTCCGTTTAGGTTTTGTAGGCGTTTCCAGAGCAACGTCCCGTTCTACATCTTCCGGAATGTCGTCTTTAGGGATTTTCTTTTTAACTACCTTCTTTCTTTTCTTGGTGGTTTCGGACGGTGTTTCTAAGTCTATCGTTGTTTCTTCTTCTTCTTCTCGTTCGCTCTCTGTAGGTTTCTCAATTGTTGGTATTTCTTCGGGTTTCGTTTCTTCCTCTTCTTCACCGTGTTCATCAGGTGTTTCATGTTTTGGAATTTCTTCTAGTAATTCGTCTGTAGGTGTTTCTTCGATAGACTTTTCTTCGTCTGGAGTCGGTTTATCGGTTGGCTTCCTTTTTATAACCCGTTTTTTCTTCTTTATAACTTTTCGCTCTGTTTCTTCAGTTAGTTCTGTATCGGAAGGAATGGCCTCTGTGTGAGGAATTTCGTCGAGAGTGAGTTCCGGTTTATCGATTTCCTCTTCCTCATGATCGGGAACATGTTTTTTGAATGGTTTAAGCTTAATTTCGGTGGGCTGGTCTTCCGGAGGTGGTTTTTGTGATTTCTTAAAAGAGACATCAGTTTCTTCTTCTGGGGCAGGTGGTTTGGGTTTTCCCTTTTCAATCGGAATTTCGATTGTCTCCGGCAATGGTTTCTCTTTTTTGGATTTTGGTTTCTTAATCTTTTTATCTTTCGGTTTTTCTTCAACCTCTTCTTCAGGTTTGGGAAGATCCAAGGATTCCATTTCTGTCTCAGGTCTGTCTATATCATACGGTTCGAAGGGTTGTATCTGGGGCTCCTCTTTATCTCTCTTCTTTTTAGGTTGAGACGGTTGCTCATCTTTAACTTTTGGTTTAGTTACATCGTCTTCCGGTTTTTCTTCGGGTTTGCTTGGGATTGGCTTTAGTTTCACTTCTTCATCTTCTTGTTGTTCTTGTGGTATCTTACCTTTGCCAATGATTAATGGCTTAGTTTCGTCTTCAGGCTTTTCGAGTTTAGGCTTGGGTTTCTTTTCATATTTATGTAATTCTTCATCGACTTTTTCCATTTCCTGTTTTTTGAGATCTTCTAGCTCTTTATCAATTTTTTCCAAATCTTTCAAAGTGTCTTCGCCCTCCTTTAGTTTCCTTGGTTTAGTCTTTTTGAGCTTAGCTGCTTCCTTCATGTTGCGGGAAAGAATACCGTTTTGCTTAAAGGTTGGTTCCAATGTAGATATTTGTGGTTTGACCTCTGATTCCGAAAGAGGTGGGAAGTCAACAAACTTGATTCTGCTCTTCAGTAGGAATTTAGGTAGTTTTGAAGGAGTAATTTCTTTCTTTTTGGTGGGCTTTGGTTTCTTTAATTTAATTTCAGCTAAATTAACGGGTTCCTCGGTCGGTTTCGAAATAACTAGCTTCTGAGGTTCAATTTTAGTAATTTCCAATTTGATAGGTTTCAGTTTGTCTTTTTCAGTCCGTTTAGGTTTTGTAGGCGTTTCCAGAGCAACGTCCCGTTCTACATCTTCCGGAATGTCGTCTTTAGGGATTTTCTTTTTAACTACCTTCTTTCTTTTCTTGGTGGTTTCGGACGGTGTTTCTAAGTCTATCGTTGTTTCTTCTTCTTCTTCTCGTTCGCTCTCTGTAGGTTTCTCAATTGTTGGTATTTCTTCGGGTTTCGTTTCTTCCTCTTCTTCACCGTGTTCATCAGGTGTTTCATGTTTTGGAATTTCTTCTAGTAATTCGTCTGTAGGTGTTTCTTCGATAGACTTTTCTTCGTCTGGAGTCGGTTTATCGGTTGGCTTCCTTTTTATAACCCGTTTTTTCTTCTTTATAACTTTTCGCTCTGTTTCTTCAGTTAGTTCTGTATCGGAAGGAATGGCCTCTGTGTGAGGAATTTCGTCGAGAGTGAGTTCCGGTTTATCGATTTCCTCTTCCTCATGATCGGGAACATGTTTTTTGAATGGTTTAAGCTTAATTTCGGTGGGCTGGTCTTCCGGAGGTGGTTTTTGTGATTTCTTAAAAGAGACATCAGTTTCTTCTTCTGGGGCAGGTGGTTTGGGTTTTCCCTTTTCAATCGGAATTTCGATTGTCTCCGGCAATGGTTTCTCTTTTTTGGATTTTGGTTTCTTAATCTTTTTATCTTTCGGTTTTTCTTCAACCTCTTCTTCAGGTTTGGGAAGATCCAAGGATTCCATTTCTGTCTCAGGTCTGTCTATATCATACGGTTCGAAGGGTTGTATCTGGGGCTCCTCTTTATCTCTCTTCTTTTTAGGTTTAGACGGTTGTTCATCTTTAACTTTTGGTTTAGTTGCTTCGTCTTCCGGTTTCTCTTCAGTTTTGCTTGGAATTGGTTTCAGTTTTACTTCTTCATCTTCTTGTTGATCTTGTGGTACCTTACCTTTACCAAGAATTAGTGGTTTGGTTTCATCTGCAGGCTTTTCGGGTTTAGGCTTTGGCTTCTTTTCGTATTTATGCAAATCCTCATCGACTTTTTCCATTTCCTGTTTTTTGAGATCCTCTAGTTCCTTATCAATTTTTTCCAAATCTTTCAAAGTGTCTTCGCCCTCCTTTAGTTTCCTTGGTTTAGTCTTTTTGAGCTTAGCTGCTTCCTTCATGTTGCGGGAAAGAATACCGTTTTGCTTAAAGGTTGGTTCCAATGTAGATATTTGTGGTTTGACCTCTGATTCCGAAAGAGGTGGGAAGTCAACAAACTTGATTCTGCTCTTCAGTAGGAATTTAGGTAGTTTTGAAGGAGTAATTTCTTTCTTTTTGGCGGGCTTTGGTTTCTTTAATTTAATTTCAGCTAGGTTTATCGATTCTTCCATTGGCTTTGAAATAATTAGTTTCTGTGGTTCAACTTTCTTGATTTCCAGTTTAATGGGTATTAATTTTTCTTTTACTTTTTGTTTAGCTTTTACATCTTGTTCGGTGTCTTTTGTTTCATCCTTCGGTTTTTCTTCTTCCGGTATTGCTTTTTTAGGCGTTTTTCTTTTTTTAATTGTTTTGGACGGAGCTTCTACGTCTTCGATAATATCAGCCCCTACTTTTTCATTCTCCATCATTTCTTCAGTCTTCATACTTCGTTCCTCCGGTTTCTTTTTCTTGTTGGCCGAACTGACCGTCACTTTCTCCGGCTGGACTAAGTCAGGTGACAGTTTCTCTACGGGTTGATCGAATCTTGATTCGCCTGTACAGAAATTAAAATTTGTTAAAATCTAGCTTTGATCAGTACACTGTGAAATATAATGATATAGGGAAAGAACAATTGCTCACCTGATGGCTTTGGTAATGTATCTGTGTTTTCAAGAGTATGTACTTCTGTGATGGTTGTACTTTCTAGAGGTGTAAGAGTAATGTGTGCCTGCTCGATATTACTTTTTACTTCAAGGGGTTTAATGTCAATTGATTGCTTAGATACCTCCAGCTGAGATTGTTTTGGAGGTGGTTTAGTAAGTTTCTTGAGAAGCTCTAATCTTATCATATCTAAAACGTCCAAAGAGTCATCGACGTTTTCGGGCAGCCCTGGAACATCAAATTCAGGAATTTCTTCCCTTTCATCTTTCACATCTGATTGAATGGTAGAAACAGGGTTTTTACCGTCCTCTAAAACTGTAACTATGTACAGATGTTCGGTTAATGGCCCAGATTTCCTTCGAAGGGTTCTTCTTTTGGTTATTTTCTTTTTTGGTATGCCCTCCTTTGTTTTTATTTCTATAACTTCACAATCTTCAGGTAATTCTTCGTAGCTTTTTATAGGAATAAGGGTGGCATCAATACCAGTGCAAGGTTTTTCCAATAACACAACAAATTGTGTTCCAGGTAATTCAGAGATCTCAGTGATTGTGATTTCATTACCAATCTGCTTTCGTAATCGACGTCTCTTGGTTTCTATTCCATTTGCCATATCTACAACAGGTGCGAGTTCATCAACAGTTTCTGGAATTTCAACGACCACGCCCTTTTTAGCCTTCACCTTACGTCCAACTTTTTCTTTAGTTTTACCTTCTCTTTCGTCTAAAGGTTCAATTCCTTCAGATGGTAGTTCCCCCTGTTCGTCACCCTTCCGTTTTCGTACAACTTTTCTAGTTTTTCCTTTCTCTGTAGGCATTTCCGTGATTTGAACACCTTCAGGAAGTTTTTCGATTAATTCAGGTGGAATAGGCCGTTCATATGAGAGCGGTTGAGTTTCCTCGAGAGGTAATTCCTCTTCTTCCACTGTCACCGTCACCTGCGGCATTTTGTCGTCCTCTTGCACACTAACAATTTCGGTTTTCTCTTGTTTATCTCCCTTCCGTTTCTTAATAACGCGTTTGCGTACAACAACCTTTTTAGTTTTTCCTTCTTCTGTAGGCACTTCGGTGATTTGAACATCTTCAGGAAGTTCTTCGATTAATTCAGGCTGAATAGGCCGTTCATATGGTAGCGGTTGAGTTTCCTCGAGAGGTAATTCCTCTTCTTCCACTGTCACCGTCACCTGCGGCTTCTTGTCGTCCTCTTGCACACTAACAATTTCGGTTTTCTCTTGTTTATCTCCCTTCCGTTTCTTAATAACGCGTTTGCGTACAACAACCTTTTTAGTTTTTCCTTCTTCTGTAGGCACTTCGGTGATTTGAACATCTTCAGGAAGTTCTTCGATTAATTCAGGCTGAATAGGCCGTTCATATGGTAGCGGTTGAGTTTCCTCGAGAGGTAATTCCTCTTCTTCCACTGTCACCGTCACCTGCGGCTTCTTGTCGTCCTCTTGCACACTAACAATTTCGGTTTTCTCTTGTTTATCTCCCTTCCGTTTCTTAATAACGCGTTTGCGTACAACAACCTTTTTAGTTTTTCCTTCTTCTGTAGGCACTTCGGTGATTTGAACATCTTCAGGAAGTTCTTCGATTAATTCAGGCTGAATAGGCCGTTCATATGGTAGCGGTTGAGTTTCCTCGAGAGGTAAT